TCTTTTGATGTGAATTGTCCTGAAGTTGGTTCCAAGACTATTCTCCAATTCACTTCCGTGTTCACTTTTTTCCGCGTCCACCTGTATTGACCAGTTTGTTGCTTCAAGTAATTGGTTGAACAACTTCCATAAAAAATTCTATGAATTCATTATTTTCTTCTCACCACATATACTGTCCGCTAGATAATGCTTGATTCGGCAGTCCCTGTTCGGTCGAGCCGATTAGACTTACTTGTTCTGACTGTCCCGATGCATGGTTCCTTCTTGTGTTAATGGCTTGTGTGGAACCTCAACACCACCCTCAGTGAATATCGGACTTTCTTTTATTTTTCATCTTTTACGCCTATTTTCATTTTTAGTTTTCTAGTTCCTATTTATCTGCAGTCTATTAGAATGCAAATAAAAACCTCTTGAGAAGCGTTTTGATATTTACAGTATTTGACCACCACAATTTACATCACATAGCGAGGATGGTAAATTTCGTGAACCATTCACGTTTATTCTCGACATTTCTTCCTGCTCCACGTACTAACTCCCGTTTGGTTATTGATTGCTGTTATCCAATGCACCATATGAGAATATCGCGTGATCAGCAATCCCTTTTCAGAAGGAATAACAATTATTCTCGGATATTGGTTTCCCCTATTTTAAACGATGGGACGTGTTCACTTTATCCCATTATCTATCCCACTGTTCGTTTCTAATGAAACTGAAAATATTTGAAGTTTGCTGTGTTTTCGTGCTGGCATACAGACACGAACAATACCACATTCACAGTTGTGTTGTAAGAAACAAAGGCGCGGGAGCGCGCATATGTTGTACTACCTACCAGATCGCACCTGTTGTCTGTGTTGATGATTTAATACACCGTCTTCGTCTGTTGTCATTTGAGTCTTCATATCACATCTTTTTCGTCCAAACGCGTGCGTGTGGTCATTATATATGTCTAATCACCATGCAGCGCATCTTATGGTTCTCTGTTTTCCAAAGTGTATATCACCCCCATGGGAATTCCCCTCGGTATTAGGAAATTCGACGTAAATGATGGCTCCTCATTTCGCTTCTCTTTTTTCTGCTATGTTGTAGTTCTGTTACCATCCACCCTCATCACTTCGCTTTTCACTTATCCCGATTGCGCAACTGTGATTGTGCTCGTAGTGTTTTATTTGACACTTTTTGTTGTGTTCTTTCATTTCACATTCGACCTCCTCAGTCCATTTTTCTGCAGCAAACGAGGATCGATTTAATTCAGGGATGTGCAATGTGGGCTATTCCGTACACTTTTACACAACAAAGCAAACCAAGAACGTGTGGTTCTTGTNTGAATAATGTAATCAAACCGCATTCGTAACCATTGGGACTAATAGTGAATTCCTATTAAATCGAACGGAAAAAAATATCCCTGTTAGTATGATGGCTCGTCGGCCATTTTTTTGATTACACCTAAACCACCAGCAACCGTTTTCCCAGTAGGTGAAACTGAAAATTCAGTAAGTTGACTGATAGCTGATTGTAGTATGGTTTAGTTTAATGCTGTTTTCACCGAGTACTTACGGCGTCCAGCAGTTTTCTTGTACACTCACACGTTTGCTTTGATGACTGTCGCTTAACGCCTCACTATCCTCGTCATACTTTGGTGCATACCTTAGGCTGTCTATCGACGATCCAGATACCTATCGTAGGTTTCCCCTCTTTCCCACTTGATTGTGACGGTGATCAGTTGAAGAATTCATCTGACCCGGTGTGTCATGTTCGCCTTCCTTATTCTCTAGCCCATTCCACTTGTGTTTAGCCCTCGGTCACAGGTAATTTTGCTGATCCGTTTTCTTTTTTAACCTGCAGTCAATCCCTCCTGCCGTGCACATAACTTGTTCGTTGCACACTCATGGCTCGTTTTGGTTTGGTTTGGTCATTCTAACCCAGGTGCGCATCAGTTAGCCTTTGAATGCTCTTTGCCCCCCCCCCCGCCCTAACCCGGTGACTTTATTCGTTAGTTTACATGCCCAATGCTGCCCACACTTGTATCCATCCATTTCCCCATAATGAAAACCAACCCCGTTTACCACCACAGTAAATCCCCATAGACCTTTAAACCGAACATATCGTCCATGCGATACCACTATTGTTGCTGCTCTTTCTCTCGACTGCTTTTATGAATCCCCGCACTTTTTCACATTACGGATTCCGTTACCCCCTTCCACGCTCTCAAACGATTTCCCTGGTATTCTCCACTCATCGACCGTATCATCTGCTCCACGTTGCGATTCCCATTGCTGCTTCTGTTCATGTCTTTACCGCGATAATTCATCGTGCGATTGGAACAAGTTTCAAATTTCAACCAACGATCATGAAAACTACAACCAATAGAACTGTGCTGTTCCCAGCCTTATACAAATCAGCAGCCATTCGTGCGGACTGAACCGGAACAAATGGCTAACGTAACGTGATCATCCCATATTAGGTCAAATTTGTCAACTTTTGGTTGTATATCGTCGATTCTCGAACCCCTGAAGGGAGATATCTCGAATGTACGATATCAGAACGCCTCTTTATGGCTAATCATTTCATTCTCTTCAAGGTGACTACTGGATTGATTGAATAATCAGCAATTTTATCATTTTGGTCTTAAATCCATATAATACCTGTTTCAGCAGAACTGTTAGAACGTTTAAGTAGATTATCGGCGCGACCAATCTAATGAGTCCCCAATCTGGCAGCAATAATGTCAAAATCGATGCCGTCCACTCCTGACTTCGCTCAGCCTGAATCCAAGAGATCTTCCTTCTGCAATAACGAAATTCTCCTTATCTGACATTATTGAATTTCGATTTTATTCCCCTGAATGGCCTAATTCCTGATCTTAAACAGTTCATCTAGGTTGGTCCGTTTGTTTGCTGCTGATCCCGGCGCACAATCATTCTCATTCTAACCCCAAAGACCATTCCTTTTCATTGACTGCACGTCCCGGTTGTTCCCTATTGTCGGTCTGTGCATAGCGAAAGGCCTGCGGAGAACAATCACTGAGATTTATTGAACTTTTGCGGGTGTATGCGACTGGGATAGGTTATTCCTTATCCGCCTCCATATTTCACGACCTTCGGTCTACGGTGGTAGATCATTTCTGGCCAACTCTTTGCCATGCGCTCAATACACCCCATCAATCTTTCCTATTAGAACATAAAGAATAACATGAATAGTCCCGTGGCCATATTGTAAATCATATATTTCTGGTGAACTCATGCCTCTCTGATCATGGTTTCATATGACTCAGGGGTTTTAGCCCACACTTCTCGTTTACTTCTGAACTAGCTAGTTTTATCCCTTACATTTTCGATCCAGTGCCAACCAAATTGGATTAGTTGTTCTGGATCGGCCGATTTTCAAAACTACTTTTGCATCGGCTAGGTTTTCTAACCTGTTTTACAATGCCCTATCTTAATCAATAAACCCCCGATTTCAGAGACCAGTAACACCACTATCCCCGTGCTTTTTTGGCCCAATATTATTCTGTTATTTTCGTAAGAAAGGAGATTCGAATGATGCTCCAAACGTGAGACAATCTCCCATACTATTGTAATTCATACAATGGGATTCAAAGATAGAACTAAAATTCCCTTCCGGTTGATTTGCGGAATGCGTATGTCTGTTTCGGTGTGTTCAGTAAACTTAATTTGTTTCTGTTAACTCTCTCTCTCTCAATGAGCGTTGCCACTCCGTTACAAGCCGACTGTCATCCCGATACGCATGCTTCAGCCTGTTCCCATTTCATCCACTTTCACTCCCGTTTCGTTTAATCAATTTATCCCTTTGCATACGATGATATCCAGTGATATAGAGCTTGCCCCGTTGCGTGCACTCACTTGAATTCACTCAACCCTGACTATGCGCATCGGCTTAATCGTTCTTGTCCCTCCCGTTTCTCTGTCCCTCTCTCTCTATCTGTCTGCCCTCTGCTGTATATGAATCTCATCTTCAATCGGGGATCTCAGAGAAAACGGGCAAACGACCACATTGGAAGATAGCCAAAAGTCACAGGTAACCTCAATTTTTGTTGCACAAAGAAAGTTATGTATGTGAAGTCTTAGTGTTTATTCCGACAGATCCTCCACCAGGCATCAAATAATTTGGCTATTCCTTAGAAGTTTCCATCAATTGAGTTAGGAACATCATGTGGTCTGTTGCTATGTTGTAATTCGTTTTTCCATCGCCGCACGTTGTACTGCACTTCATTCGTCATTACTCCTCTCCCTGTAGATGTGTGAATTGGTACGACAGCAGACTGATCAGTGGACCAGTTTGAAATCTGCCCAGATGAAAGAAATATACGAACTTGTCCTGGGTTACATTGAAGCCCGAAAAGAACTTTTGATCAAGGTAACACCCTGTTGTGATTACTGTCTTGCAGTTTGGTGATACACATTATTTTCTACTGATGACACTCATTAGGCTCATGTGGCTTTCATGCATCTCCCAATGTCACTCAATCTGACGAGGATGTGATGGTAAACTTACCGCCATCTAGATCCGCCGATTTTTCCTCAGTAATGTCTGTCCAGTTTTCATCCCACCCTTTGATTTATTGCGGTATCGTTTATTGAGAACCCCCAATAGATCTAGCAGGTGGCTCGAAATGGTGTTCTGTTCCTAGGCAGGAACAGAGTTCATTTATCGTCTAAGAGTAGACAATGCTTGGTACCTACGATCCGTAGCACCTAGTTTTGTTTGTGAAAAGCGATAATGTGGTCTAGTCATTTTGTTTTTTATTTAGCAAAACGATGAAATCTACAGGAGAATGTGGTCAAGGCATAATGCTGTTGATGAATGTTGACTTCCGTGGACCGGCAACCAATGTATCGTATGGATGACACTTTAGTGAACTCTGTCACACTCAGCATTCAACTGCTGTTCTTTTTTCTCTTTCAGATCATGAAAGAGGTACAAGAGGAACAGAAACGTGAACTGCGCATTATACAAGGTCGCGAAGTGAAAGAGATGAAGGCTCAACAGACGAAGGCTTCAATTGAATCTAGCCGCTCCGTGATGAACGACCCGAAATTGCGTAACAAAGCGGAACGAGATCGTCGTATCCGAGAGCTGAATGACTACAATACGAAACGTTTTATAGACCAGCGCAAGATTCAAGCGCAACGCCACGATAAACAGACGCAAGAGTTAAACAAACGGCACGCCCAGGAAGAACAGGACGTCATATCTGGCATGAAAAAGGTATGCATTTCGTTAATCGCAATCAACTTGTTCCGTAAGTCCCAGAGGGTTTTACTACGTTATCGATGAATGTGAAGTAATTTAGTCGACGAGTTTTTCAAGAGTTCATCTATTAAGACCACGACCATTAGGCGCACCAACACTCGGTCATTCTAATTCGTGACTTGTTAATAAAAAAAAACTGCAGTTCCGTGCAATAGACAAACAAAATGTGTTAACCCTTCATCCGATACCAGCTGTTTTTGTTCTGCTCCTATAATGCTCTTGCACCTTATGGTTACTTCGGTTCCATGTCTGTAAAGATTGGTATAGGCATATATAGATATTGAACGCTAGGTTTTTGTAGTATCACTTCACGACCGCTCCGTGAAAGCGCACATATTGCGAACTGCCAATGCACGTATTTAAAGGTTAATGTATTAAGCGTCTCCGGAACGACAAACAGCTGGTCGTGCACAGTCTTACTCGACCTGGCTATCTGCTTCACCCATCCGACCATTATTCCATACGTAATAGTTCATCATTGGGATTGACTGAAGAAGCGTCGCCCAATCTTTTGAGCGTCTTAAGGTGCACAAGTGATGTTCCTTATTTCTTCTCCAACAGAACTCCCTTTCAAAAAATCTCCTATCATAATTTTCTGGTTCGTTAGTCCCC